GGGGAGATAATTGGGATTTAATGAAAATTTGGTGGTATGTTTTAAAAATCTTCTTCTCAAGAACCACTGTGCCAGGAAAGATGAAACTTATGGGGAAACATCCTCAGGTAGTGTAGATTCAAATTTGTTCAAATCTTGGCCCCCGGGGGTAGGGCGGGGCCACAATGGCCGACCAAAGTTTTACATAGAAATATATGGGAAAATTCTTTAAAAATCTTCTTCTCAAGAATGACAAAGCCATGATTGATCATATTTATATGGAAGCATCATCAGGTAGTGTAGATTCAAGTTTGTTCAAATCATGACCCCCTGGGGGGTAGGGCAGGGCCACAATGGCCGACCAAAGTTTTACATAGAAATATATAGGAAAATTCTTTAAAAATCTTCTTCTCAAGAATGACAAAGCCATAATTCATAATATTTATATGGAAGCATCCTCAGGTAGTGTAGATTCAAGTTTGTTCAAATCATGACCCCCATGGGTTAGGCGGGGCCACAATGGCCGACCAAAGTTTTACATAGAAATATATAGGAAAATTCTTAAAAGATCTTCTTCTCAAGAATAACAAAGCCATTATTGGTCATATTTATATGGAAGCATTCTCAGGTAGTGTAGATTCAAGTTTGTTCAAATCATGACCCCCGGGGTAGGGTAGGGCGGGGCCACAATGGCCGACCAAAGTTTTACATAGAAATATATAGGAAAATTCTTTAAAAATCTTCTTCTCAAGAATAACAAAGCCATAATTGATCATATTTATATGGAAGCATCCTCAGGTAATGTAGATTCAAGTTTGTTCAAATCATGACCCCTGGTGGGTAGGGCGGGGCCACAATGGCCAATCAAAGTTTTACATAGACATATATAGGAAAATTCTTTAAAAATCATCTTCTCAAGAATAGCAAAGCCATTGCTCATGGGACTACTTTTGGATTTAAACTTTTCAAAAATAAACCAATAAACCAATAAACCTACTTTTTCCTAGCCACAGTGTTCAGGTGAGCGATGTGGCCCATGGGCCTCTTGTTTCAGGTAATAATTGCACTTTTGTTAAGAAAAGTTTTTTATGAACAAAAAGTAATCAATTAACACATTAAACTTCATAATAGTTTGTTAGATGTCCTCTCTTTCTCTTGCTCAGAAATATTCCATTTTTTAACCCGCATAGGCCGCCATAGAATGAAGCGACCTAGTTTTTTATCGAATGTAAACAGCTAAAAATTATAGATGTTATCTTATTATTTTCATACGGTATGTCTATAAATTTGGGATAGATATTCTGCACTTACAATATCAAAGGAAATTTATCATATACTACGAGCTGAAGTTGCAATAAAAAGGATAATACAAATGCTGTCGTCTGCACGAATCTGAAGACCCCTTAGGCCTAACGTTCCGTATATGTATGTAACATGTTTATGCTATGTTTCAGTTTGCGATGTGACAGTATACTAAGTATTTTGAAACTTTTATATCTATAATGCATAAACATTGCTATTTTCAATAAGTTTGAAAGCATTGGATACCTACATTTTCCCTTTTTCCACTGCTAGGCTACTGGATCGTCGTCAACACACTTCGGCGCTCTTGGCTGGTATGTTTGGGGACCGCTTTCAAGAATGTACCTGTAGGCCTAATTGTGATATCGGCAATTTTTTAAATGTTTTAAAATTTCTGTCGGTTGGCTCTTTTAACAGAGTGCCATTCGGCATTCCTGTCGCTTTGAAACAGGCGATCCCATCTTCTTCCCCTCTCGATCATGTCGATTTCTTAGGCCTATGTCGTAAATATCGTAATTTTGCACATGTCTCGGTCATTAATACAACATAGAAAGATTTGTTATTTAAAAATAAATATAGTTTAACATGTTAATCATAAAAACTTAAAAAACTTGTTTGTAAATTGTTATCAGTTTGAATTTTACGACATGTTTAAGTACGAAGACCCACTTGGGGTAAAATGATCAGAAGAATTCATCCTTAAGTAAACTCAGGTGACCTATTGGTAATTCTGTTTTCATCAGATGTCGTGCATTAACATTTTCATCTTCATCTCTGCAACCTCTCAACCAATTTCAACCAATTTTGGCATAAAGCATCTACGGGTGGGTGAAGGGGAACAGAAATTGTGAACATCATGGTCCCTGCCCCTTTGGGGTCTGAGGGCTGGGACCAAAACCACTTAAATTAATGCAAACTTCTCTTTATTCCTGGGCATCAACCTGTCAAACTGTTGGCATAATTGTAATCAGCAGCCCTCTACCAAAATTGTGGAATTGTAACTCCAAGGTCAGGAATTTTTGT